ATGCTTAAGCCCTAAGCAACCCATAGACTCCTTTAATTAAGCCCATGGACGATTTCCTTATGGGCTTCCCATTAGAATTCGTCCATCCCTTAATACAAGGCAATCCATGGCCCAAATTGTAATTATCTTATAATTACAATTCCAGTCCCTTAAGTTTAATTAATCTCTTTTAGTCACAAAACTAATTACCAATTAATTATTGACTAATATTAATTAAACAATATGATTTCTCCTTTAATATATTATTCCCATAATATATTAATAAATCATATTTAATCCTTACTCTCCATAAATCATCCTATCAAGTTGCTTTGGTGAAGGCAACCCAAAAGGACCATGCACCATCGGGTCAAGTACATACCAAAATAGTTATGGACTTAGACACTAATCCAACAGTTGTTGCATGTGCTTTTACTATGGCTAAAAACCCCAAAAGGTGGAGACTTTATGAGTGTAAAGTGCTCCATGGTCCGAGATCTATCCCCATTCAGTGCTATTAGTGATTTAGAGCCATACAGCTTCCATCTTTAGTGATTACTTTGAGGTCATGCTTGAGTATAAGCCTTCTAGAGTTAAAGGATGGAACATTGTGAGAGTTGGTGACTTATCCCGCCATGCAAAGGCATAAAGTCATCAACTTTACGGATTAAGAGGCTTAGATGTGGTCGGATCTAGAATTTGGACGTGAGTCTTAACTGTTTAAGACCTAATGAGTTAAAGTGCTGAAGCTGGGGAGTACGTCAGGTGTAATCCTAGTACGCGCCGCGTACTGGGTGGCATTCCCCGATCCTGAGAGGCAACTGGGTACGCCCAGCGTACACATCTGGTACGCACAGCGTAACCCGGAAGTTGACTTTTGAGTTGACTTTTAGGGTATGGTCTATTGTGGGGCTTTTGAGTTGTGAGAGGGGAATGGTCTTTTACCCTTCTGAGAGTGTCATAAGAGGACATAGTCTAGCCTTTGAGAGTTATAATAATTAGGGTGTTTATTTTATATGATTAGGCGGAGGTTAGACCAGCGTTACTGAGTCAGAGATTACCGAGATACCCGAGGTGAGTCTTCTCACTATACTTTACCTAGTGTCGTAACAAAGTTATGTGATAGAGTATTTTAGAGTTATATGCCAGTGTAATTGCATGTTATTTATGTGCTATGATTTATTGTGATATGTGTTATCCATGATTCAGAGTTACAAAGTTAGGAACTTCGGGTCCACAGAGTTAGGACTTTCGGGTCCACAGAGTTAGGGCCAGAGGGCCCATAGAGAGTTGGGGCTGGAGGGCCCCACTGAGACACATAGACCTGAGGGTCAACAGAGTTTCAGCCTCGAGTGGCTATTATGTGTTCGAGTGGTATTTTGGGGAACTCACTAAGCATTTATGCTTACAGTGTTATGTATTATGTGTTTCAGGTACCAGTGATGATCGCGAGAAGGCGCCGGCATGATTCGTACACACGCACACCGGAGTTTATGTATTTTGATCTTGGGTTTTGTACTGATACAATGTTGACACAATGTTTTTATTTATGATTGCAAATGATATTTCATGGTTTCCAAAAGTGAAAAATTGTTCAAATTTTTACGGTGTTACAATATATATATATATATATATATATATATATATATATATATATATATATATATATATATATATATATATGGGTAAAGTGAATATACCTAACAACCTTATATAAGCTTAGGTACCTAACTCCATAATACAACATCGGTTTGTATCATATTTACATTGTAATTGCCTAAGGTTCCTAAACTTCAACCTCATAACTTGATTACTTCCAAAATCTTTGGATTTTCAACAATATATTTCTTTTACATCACGTCTTTCTATCGAATACCACCTAATGGGCTTCATATCCTACCGCTACAAATGAAAGGATGTAGGAGAAATATAATGATAAATTTTCAATTTTTTTGAAGTAAATCAAGTTTAGGGATGAAATTTAAGAACCTTGGATGATTGCAATGAAAATTTAATGCAAAATGACGTAGTTTGATGAGGTTAGGTACCTAAGCTTATATAAGGTTGTTAGGTATATTCACTTTACCATATATATATATATATATATATATATATATATATATATATATATATATATATATATATATATACTCGCAAGATACATTTTCACCACATATAAACAATTTACCCCACCCTATTGATCCTCACAACGACATGATCTATACTTTTGGATCTAAAATATATCAAGGTTGTAAAAAACGCTCGGCGTTAGGTAGTCGGTGGACTAGGGTTAAGCGATTAATCGGCTAGGCGGAGATTAATCGAGGGATTAATCTGGGACCATTAATTGCTAATTTACTAAATTTTATAAAATTAAATATGACTAATATTATATCAAAGTTCATAAATACCACTAATATCATAATAAAATAGGTTAATATGATTAATACAACACTAATAATGCCTCAAATAGTTTCCATTGAGATAAAACTTCTTGAAAATGTTAAAATTTCATCGTTTTATAGTATTTCACTCATTATGTATGTAGGGATTAATCGCTAGGCGCTAGGGATTAATCGGGACCTAGTCGGGATTTTTACATCAGTGATATATATATATATATATATATATATATATATATATATATATATATATATATATATAATAACATTGTGGGATTGAAATCTCTATGTAGTCACCAGGTTTTCCAACCTAACCTATTCAGTTTATTGTATCATAGGTAGCGATATAAAAGATACATTCTGTTGAGAAATTCAAGGAGTATTAGGCACTAGTTTAATTATTGTAAGGCTTGTAATATTTCGTTATTCTTATGTTTCTATATTGACGATGATATCTTGATGTTTTAATATAAATAAAATGCATTTCTTCGGAAATGCTTTAATAATATCATTATCATGTTTTTGGGAACAAATTCTGCGATACTATTCCTCAAAGAGGATACTCTGATTTTAAATAAGCATAAACAAATCAATCTTTTTTAACCGTAAAATTGGGGATATCACACCTAGTCACCTACAAAGTGGTTTCTCGCTTATCCCCATTTGGGAATGAGGAGATCCAACGTCAGGTGTAGGAATTAATGTCAAAGGGATGGGAAAGTCTCAATCTGTGTTCAACATATGATTGACTAGCTTAAAAGGAGACAGTTGGAGTGTGTAGATGAGCTTTGAAGCAGGGCCACAGACCTTTCAAATCGGAGAAGGGATGGAAAGACTTGTGAGAAGAGATGATAGGCTTGATACGGATACAACTGTTTATCAGCCTAGAATCAACATGTTCGACTACACATCTAAACTCGCCTGGAAAAACATGTTGGGTTACAGCTCCGCACACCTGACACCTTTCGAAGCACTTTCTAATGTGCACTTTAGTTTTCGAATGTCTCGTTCAACGTCACGAGTCTACAAGCTTTTCGCATTTAAGTGCTCTCCCTTTGAATCTTCAGTAGGGAACTTTACTCTTTTGATTAGAGTAGGGCTCGCGAGAGAACAAAGCGTAATGCCCTGCCATAGTTTTTATTTATAGTCGTAACTATTGTCATAGTCAAAAAGGTTGAACTTCCAGGAAAAAAACTTCGAATTGGAAGATATTTATCCAACGTTTTGATGTTGGCTATAATATTTTGGTTTTCGGAGATGTGTGTTCTTTATATTTGGAATGTTATTCTAGATAAATATATATTACAATTTTATAGTATTTCAGGGTGTTAGATAAGGCGTCCACACAATTTTGCTCCAACATCGTATATACACGTGCAATAGACAACACTTTCCAAATTTTGTCCATACCTCTTCATGCAAAATTTGAGCATTTCTTACATACAAAAAGTTATCCCAACTATGTGTAACACATAATGAACCATTTAATATGGTAGGACAGCAATCGATGAGTGAAATTATATAAAGAATGTCTCATGATTAAAACTCGGTCATGCTCTATTGACCGTAGGTTTTTCATAATTTACATTTCACGTGATGGACTTGGACTTTGAAACAGATGGTGTGTAAGTTCTACCCTTTTCATAATGAACCATCTCTATTCCATAAAACACAAGATCAATATGTTCGTTTTCTAGGTCAAAACCCGCAAATCATACAATACTCTCACCAATTGCTTCCCACCCTAAGTAATACTGATGATATCTTTACAGTTTACAAGCCATTAGTAAACCTCTTATAAACCCCGTCAATGTTTTTACCGTGATAAATACAGCCAAAAAGTACAAAATTAATTTTTTTTCTATTCTTTCAAATTTCAATTTATTGATCTTTAGGCGTCGCAATTTGATGGATCCAAATTGCAATTTAACTCATCGCAACAAAATAAAAAGGTAAAATGGGGAATTTGGTAAAGGGTTTTCTTTGGGTATAACACGACACTTAACGTTCAAAAATTTCTTGTTTTATATGTACACAATTACACATATATAAATAGCAAAAACTTGCAAAAACATCAGTTGATCATAGTGTAGTGACATATTTGGATACTTTTCTCCAGTTAGCAACTCAATAATATTTGCAATAGCTAAAGTTGTTGAGTCTTTTATTACTATACTTACTTTTTTCTAAAATAAATGCAATTAATTTATCTTTGTCACAGGTTATGCTACATAATATAGTTTAATCATGATAATCAGTTGTACTACTAACAAAGACCATACTAAATTATCTCAGATAAGTAAAAGAAATTATAATCATAAAAAAAAGTAGTAAAGAAATGTTGCCCTGTCACATCGAGGTACATAAGCCTATGTTTAATGTTTTTACCAAAAACACACGTAAACATATATAGTACATACACATAATAGACATAGCAACAACACAAAACAACCAAAAGTTGCCAATGCAGGATTTATTGTTACCTAGTTGGTTAAAAGATGTAATATGACATACATATATATCACTGGTTATCTACCAAAAAGAAGTGATAAAATAATACAATACTCATGTCACCTTTGATGTGTATATCATTTTGTTCTTTTTTCCCGTTCTCCCCCATCAGTTTACATCAGGAAAACAGGATTCGACTTATAAAAAAAGGAAAACGAATTGGATCTTACAATCTTTTCTAGAAACCCCCGAATCCAGTTCTCTTTTAAAACACACGTGTTATTTTTTAATAGAAAGTATTTATACCTGAATAATCACGCGTGTAAATCCTTGTCTGAGTTCCACACTGGTGGTTTTGGAGGACTTCCCTCATTTGTCACACTACCTCCATTTTCCACACTTATTAAAGGATCGTTTTCACCTTCGTTTTTCTTTTTTAAAAAAATAAAAAAATATATATATTTAGTTCATGATTTGATTATATTTGTAGTCAATGTATGATATAAAGTCAAAAATGTACCTCAGAAAACTGCGTTGATGGTTCAATGGGTTTTGGCTGTGTATCACGAGTACAGAAGTAAGAATAAAGCACCATACCCACAACAGCAATTAATATTCCCAAAATGTTTCTCCAACTAAAAGGATCGTGTAATAGAAAATATCCAAATGCCAAAACTAGACATGTTTTCAGGTGGCCTAACACCTGATAAGTCACTGGAGATGTTTTTCCAATCACCAGAAAAGTACTGAAGTTGACAGAAACCGATATTAGGCAGGACAGAATAATGAATGCCTGAAATTTACAAAAAAAAAAAAATAATAGAATTAATGATTCCAGTCTGTGTGATATGAGACACTGAAACGGGCTTATAACATTATACAGAAAGACTATTTTAACCTTACCAGAACTTGATTTGTGTATTTGAAAGCGAAAACATTTTGATTGGTCAAAAGGGCATCTAGAAATGGACCGATGATGAACAGGATAAGAGCTTGGTAGGGGCAAGATTGGTATAGGAGTTGTGTTGAAGAGACCTTGAACTTTTTCTGGATTGTATTTGTCATCTGAGATAAAAATGATTAAGGATATCATAGAACGTATTATGTGATAATTTATTTGTGAGTAATATGATAGAACGTTGTTTTAAGGATACAATTTGAGCCACACAAGTTGTTATAATGGCAAGTAGGGATAATATGCTGCCCAGGAGATTGAGTTGTAGGTCAGTTACTGTTGCAATTCCAACTCCTAAGAGTAATATTGTAAGTGAAAACCTGACTTTTTTACTGCAGATGGAAAACAAGAAAATGTTTCAACAGATTATTTCATGAAAATATCATGTAGCATAATAAGTAAATAATTTAAGAAGTTAACCTGAATTGCTTGCTGAAGAAAAGAGTCTCCAAAAGTACAGTGCAGGGGATAATTGCAAGTTTTGTCATCTGTAATGAAACCATGAAAATTTGTCATCCATAATGCAATTGCAGCATTAAATGAAAAAGAGAAAAAATAAAATACCTGGTAAAAACCAACAGAATTGAAACCCAAACTGAGGTTTAGAAGGCCAATGGAGATTCCATTCAATATACCAAATCCCATCACAGCTCTTGAATCGAAAGGCTTGTGCTCAAAAAATTTCAACCATAATGCCACATGGAGTGAACAAAATGTGACTAAAAGATGCCAGCTTGTCAAAGTTGTAGCTGAAGGCATAAGAATGGGATTGAAGTAAAATTATGAGCAGGATCAGGGTATTGAATGACAAAAACAGCTGTAAATGGGTTCATAACTAGGTTTATTACAATAGTCACTATATTGGTGTTTCCTAGAGTTAATAGTTCTTGAGTTTGCAACACAATTTTGTTGTGACTATGATCTTAGGAGAATCCTCATTGTAATTTGTATGTGATCTTGTGTGCAATTCAGTGGTTTGTTCATGAGTTGTCCTTTTAATCATTGGAGCAGTGTGGATTCAATTCCAATCCTTTGAACTGTCTAAAGGAAAATTGAAGTCTTAAGCCAAATTAAGAAAGGATACCATGATTTATTGACAATCATGTATCAAAACAAGTAAATCAAGCAATGAAGCATCATCAACAATCCAAGGCCTTACCAGTTAACTCTCAAGCATAAAGTTATAAGGATATATGTCCTTTTTGTGTCAATGGTGAATGTGAGTATCAAGCTTCAAATGGAGTTAATTGTCAACAATGTACAATCATCATATATCAAGCAATATGAACTTGATTCACTAGTTGATCAAGAAAATAAACATAAATTTCAGCGACAATTACTCACTCTCACTGACGTAGAAGAACAAATTATAAGGATCGTGAGCTTGGTTGCTTAATGGCAATTTACAGAACATTCAGCACAATAGGTGCTGATTCATCGACCAGGATCATTAAAAGATTCAAAACTAGAAATTTAGTGTGAAGGCTTGATTGCTTACCAAAAGTGAAACCAAGAGTGCTAATCAGTGCCTTGTTGCAAATCACAATCGAAACCGAGGAAATCACAGATAAACTCAACGCTCCAACTGTTCCCAGCTGAAACCGCTGTCCTTCGCCCATCTTCCTCTCTCACTTCCGTGTCACTTCTAACTTCGATTTCGATCTCAAAATCTACCAAAAACATAAAACCAAAATCAAACTTAATCTTCATAAAATCAACCAATCAAAGCATCAGACATCAACTTCGTAAATCGTACCTCATTCCAGTAAATTACGAACTGGCGCTAATTGCCAAACAGCAAACTTCAAACCTCCACAAAATTCACCATTTAAAACTCCAGATCTACTACTCTACAATTCGGTATTACATAAAAAAATCAAGAAATTTTACACGCAACTCCACAGAAAACTCTGTGTGAATGCAGACAGATAAAAAGTAACCTGAGATCACAACGAGGATATCTCCTTCCTCAAATTCTGTAGTTGATATAAGTATGCATATACATATGATTTAATGATTATATAGTGCCTAGGGATGGGTGTGTGAAAGTTAGGAAAGAGTACTGTAATCAGTGTGAATCCATGAACAGAGAAAGGGAAAAAAATCTAATTATTTTGACTTGTTTTTGAATTTGGTTTTCCGGCAGTTTTGACGCCGGCAAGATAGATGGTTGATTGTGAAAATGGACGGTCGTGATTTTCTTTATTCTAGTTCCCCTTCAGATCTAGTATAAAAACCCAAACTATAATGTATAAAGGGCAAAATCTCACATCGTAAGTCGATTGCCTGATATAAAAAGTAACTTTTTAACAATTAATCTATATATTTATATTGTTTGGATTTTTATTCAAAGTATAAACCTTTTTGTCATAAACATTGATTTTAGAAATAAGTTTATTTAAATAAAATTGACCTATAATAAAATCTACTATAATAAATGAAGGTTTTTTTTGCTACATATCATTTTCTCATTCATTTGGATACATGGTATTTTCTAGAATTTTTAGAATTTCTATTTTCCACTTGTCATTTTATTGTATTTTTTATTTTATTAAATTGAAATTCCACATTTAATGTATAAGATAATATATATGTAAAGTATTTATTAAAAAGAGTTTATATATGTAATGTATTCAATACATTAAAACCTTATTAATTTTAATAATTCAAATTTTTCTCATTTTTCTTATAAATTCAAAATTTTCAAATTGTTAAAATTTTATATTTTTTTTTAATTAAACTCATGTAATACATGGGTCTCACACCTAGTTATTATTAAAATTTGCTTATTCTTTTCAGAACGTGATGAAATATATATAAAAGAAAAAACGACCAACAATGAGCAATTGCATCACTTTTGATAACCATGGGTTATTTATTATTTGGATAAAATTAAATTGTTTAATTACGCAATTTGGATTGTACTTTTAAATAGTGCAAATTACACACACACAAAAAAAAGAAAAAAAAAAGTCAATATATTATCATAAAATTTAGAATTTGATATAGAGTATTGTTTTTTTATAATTATATCAATATATTTACAATTTTGTTGTAATATTAACCAAATAACCGGTTTTATCAGTTCTCCCGAAAACATTTTTCCTGAATTACAATAAAGAATTATGATTTTGACACTGTATTATTTTCTCAATTATATCACTATATTTACAATTTTGTTGCAATATCAAGCAACTTACAGTTACCATCAATCTAGAACGTTACTAAAATAAATGACGTAACAATATTGTGACCTGGAAGTCACATCACACCATCAATCCAGTATTGTGTGCACAAAAGAAAAGTCAGTTAAACCCATGGCTACGACTTGACCCTCTATAGGGCGTGACGCAACGAGGCAAAAACCTCCTTATAAAAGGAGGGTCACCTCCCCTCATTTCTTTCCACCAATTTTTCCAACTCTTTCTCCCTCCTCACAAGATTCTGGTCAATCGTGATTCGAATTCTCGTTTTGTAATGTAGTTAGTGAAGCTTTAGAGGTTTCAGAAGGATAACTAAGGAAAGTAAGTAAACGTCTAAGTTCTATTCACAGCCATTCGGACCTCATCAAATTGAGTAAGTTACACTTACTTTTATCTAACTTACTTAGTTGTTTCAAAAATATTATGTTGAATTAGTATATTTACGTAACTCTATTCCAACTGTCCTCACATTCTAAATACAACAAACATATATTGCCACACATAGTATAGTGAGATAACTCACCTAAATATTCTTGAAACAACTAAGTAGGTTAGATAAGAGTAAGTGTAACATACTCAATTTGATGAAGTCTGAATCGTCACGAGTAGAACTTCGACGTTTACTTACTTTCCTTAGTTATCCTTCTGAAACCTCCAGAGCTTCGCTAACTACATTATAGAACGAGAAGTCAAACCACGAGTGATCGAAATCTCGAGAGGGGAGAGATGGAGAGAGAGTTGGAAGAATTGGTGGAAAGAAATGAGAAGGGGTGACCCTCCTTTTATACGGAGGTTTTTGCCTCGCCGCGTCGCCGGCATGGGTCAGAATGACTTTTCTTTCGTGCACACAATGTTGGACGTTTGGAATCAGTTGCATTTAATAAAATGTGTCACGGAACATAGAGGTGTGATGTGGCTTCCACGTCACAATATTGTTATGTCATTTATTTGGTAACATGCTAGATTGATGGTAACCGGTTATTTTGTTGATATTGCAACAAAATTGCAATATAACGACAAAATTGAGAAAAAAACACACTGTCAAAATCGTAATTTTGATCAATATAATGACTTTATTACAATTCAGAAAAAGTGGTTACCGGAAGAACAGATAGAACCAATCATTTGGTTGATATTGCAACAAAATTATAAATATAGTTGCATAATTGCTGGAAAAAAGAAATTGGTGTCAAATTCGAAATTTTATGGTAATATAACGAGTTTTTTATAATTTGCCCTTTTATATATAATAATGTATTATCCAATAAAATAACTTAATGTGTATTTCTCAAAAAAAAATTATCTATAAAATTTTAAATTATAATATATTTTTCGAATAACTGTTCATAAATTTTAATTCTCAACCAAATAATTATTTTTTTTTCGAGTCTAATATTTAAATTAATATTTTCTTAAATGTTTTGTCTCTTAAAAACTGAAGTGTAAAAAATTAAAACTGATCCAATTGATTTGTAATTTGGTTGGTTTGAATCGGATTTAAATTTAGTTTGAAATATTCGGATTTACATTTTAAAAATGAAATAAATTTGGATTCATTTAATTAGTTGGATTAAACCAATACATCCAAACGAACACTTCTAACAGTAACTCAAGAAATGAGGAAGACACCTTACACGGTTATACCGCTAGCCTACGAAATCACTCCTATCATATGCTATCAATAGCGCACTATAGCGGTGCTATAGCAGCGTTATAGCGTTTTGTGCTGTTACAGAACCGCTATTTTGAAATAGCAGTGACGCTATTAGCGGTGTTATTGACCGCTAATAGCGTTATAGCGACGCTACACCCGCTTTTAAAATTTTGTACATATTAGATTACTTTGACAAATAAAAAAAAACGATTGTTTGCTATTTCAATATGAAATCTTTTTGTTTTTAATTAGTCCACAACACTTTTTGTCTTAATAAATCCAAATAATAAATATAATTAATTACAAACTAAAAAGCAACGAATGACTTCTTTTTTTCGTCTCTTTCAGTACTTAGAAACCACGAAAGACTTGAATTGTGATAACACTTTGATATTTTTTCGTTTCCATATTACTATATTAAAATATTATATATAGATTATGTTATGTTTTATATGAATTTTTATGATATAAATTCTATATTGTATTAGTAATCTAATATATAAATTTTATATAAATATATAATATATATTATACATAATATTAAAAAACCGATTTCAAATAGCGGCATGTGACCGCTATTGAAATTTCAACTGCGATAACTAATTAGCTCCTATCAATAAAGTAATCTCACAAAATTAAAGTAGTTTCACAAAACCATTTCATAAAACAAATGGTTATTTCGTGATATCTGTTTTATGATTATTTCTTGAACCGTACTAATGAGAAAAACTGAAAAACATTCATATCTATTAAACAATGGCAATCATCAACAAGAACGAATGCACATATTTCAGACATTCAAACGAACATATAAAAAATTGTTTACATGGTTACACGAAAAAGAAAATACTCCAGTCATGCTAACGACCTCAACCAACCAAGAATCCCAAGGAGACCAGCATCTAATATTGGTGACTTCTTTTCAAGTCCTGCACATACGAAACAAACACATTAATATCAACCTCCTTAAACATTAAGCTGTGGGCTACCAATAACTTCTACCATGGTTTTAAGATGATCTAATTTAATAATATATAAATAAATAAAAATATTCACACTCACCAACATCTGCAGCTACTCGATGTGCACACATTACTCCCGAAAAGGCTACCGCTATAACACCTTGTCCTGGAAAGCAACTATCTCCCACACAATAAAGACCATTTATAGCCTACACAATTCCATAATCAAGAAAACCATTAAACCATGAAAAACACGTATTTATTTAGTATATGTTAAACTTGGAATTTCTAAACTGAACTTACAGTGGTATTAAAAGGCATTCCCAGTAAGCCCTTGGGCACGCCACGTGGCATTGGCCCATACGTGCCGCTATCACGAGCAAGATACCGTCTGTGTGTCTTTGGTGTGCCCACCTGACAATGTTTGTAGCGGTTAAGGTCAAGGACATTTTAGTCATTTAACATTATATCAGGGAACAATTAATACCTCTATAAATTCGATGGAGGATTTGAGGCCTGGAAATAGTTTCTTTTCGAGTCTGCTGATTATTTTGTCTGCAACAAGTTCCTTCTTTGCCTCGTAATCTTTTGTAGAAAGCCCCTATATGTTTTCAGTTTTCCCGAAACAACATCAAATTTAAATGATAATTATTTTAAAAAAAAAAAAAAGATCAAAGATTAATAATTACCTGCCAATCCTCTATGGACGAAGTCGTAAATATGTGAAGAATATGACGCCCTTTTGGAGCCAACGATGAATCAAGTATAGTTGGAATGCTCAAAAATATACTCCCATAAGGCTCCTCTAAGTTTTTCCAATCATCCTAAACAATTTAAAAAAAAAAAAAAAAAAAATTATTTTCTATGTGTAATGAGATCCAAGCAAGACACAAACATAAGTGAGTACCTCAAGAACAAAATGGTGGCAATCAGTGCCAGGTGGCAAAACCTCAGCTTTGACCCCCATGTGAATAGAAAGAAAAGAAGGCGCTTTTACATAAACTTTTTGGAAATTTTCTTCTTCTTTTGGTAGATCTTGCTTTTTCAAAAGCTTGCCTACAAAAAAAGATATAATTTAATCATGTAAATTATCGCGTATAAAGACTATCATAGGGCTTATAATACATTAAGTGAATACTAACCGAAAGTATCCCATCTAGTAGCATTTGAGATTATGGTTTTGGCAAAAAACTCTCTTCCATCCGACAGTTTCACTCCTACCTACAATAATTTAAACATTATATTATATAAAATTCAACATTATTTTACTTGTATTCATCTCATGAAAGTTGCAACGTTGTATTTGACATGAAATGATTAGAATACCATTCAATAAACATAACAGATAACACTACCAGTTTACTTGTAATGAAAAGTGAAAACAAAGGGCAAATATGTCATTTAAACATCAATAATCAAACAAAACTCACTGCTTTCCCATTGTCGACGATAATGCTTGTGACATTTGCTTTATAAAGTATTCCACTTCCATGATCAACTAAACCTTTTGTCAAGGATTTTGCAATCCCTCCAACCCCACCAACAGGGTAATTAATACCTCCAAAATGTCGATCACATAACACCTAAACAAAACATAAGGTTAGGAACCCAAGGGTAAAAGTGGAATTTAAACAAATCAACAAAAACAAGCTTGATAATGTTTAGTTACCATGCTTGCATTTATCATGGGTGTCTGTAAAGCATTAACAGTGCTCACAATAAAACACTGCATGAATCGAACAATCAGGATTTAGCAAAAAAGAGTAACAATCAGAATATTCTAGAACCTAGGAATTAGGAAAAAGTATCAGTCCACCTCAGCATCTATGAATGCGAGAACTTCTGGATCTTTAATAAAGCTGCGAGCAATGCTTCCAGCATTTTGTGGCAAATAATAAGCTATAAAAGATACCAGAAAACATACAATTAGCATTCAGAAACTTCTTAATCAAAAAATCATATTCATTACCAAAAATGGTATAAAAATGTAGGAAATAGTATAAGCAAATGGGGAAAACACACCAAGTGTCAAGCATTCCACAGGCTTTTTGAAAAACTGTCCAAATAAGTAGATAGGTTCCTCGAGGGATTTGAGTTCCAGTGAATTCAATGCGTTAAAAATCTGGAAAATACATATAAAAAGTTTTTAGCCAAAGTTTAGGTTAAAATCCAGGGTGAAAAACGAACAAATTTATGTTGCAAACTTGAAATCACCTTAATCAAAAGTCAAAACCGACCTTCCAGCATGCGTTGTAGAATTTGTGAATCCCTTCCTTTTCGTGTGGAAATTTACTCGTAAGCTCAGAAATGAAATCATCGTATCCTCTATGTACTTGAACAGAAAGGCTATTTGGAAGATGAAAATGGACGGTGGTTGGATCGGGTATCACCTCCATTTTACACCCGACTGCCGCCAGTGCTTGAGTTATTAAGTTCAGATTTCCCTACAACAGAACAAAAAGAATTCCATTAGTAAATCATTTGATGGATTGGATGAACCAATACCATCAACAATCGAAATTAAGTACCTTATCGCTGAATCCGAACATCACGGATGATCCGACATCAAAAGTGTAACCATCCCTTTCATAGAACCCAGAGCTCCCACCAGGAATCACATATTTCTCCAGAACCAACACATTGGCTCCCTTCACCGCTAATTGCGTTGCCGCCACCAATCCACCGATCCCTGAACCAATCACAATTGCGTCATAACCACCACCACCGCTATCCTTGCTCTTCCCCTCTGTCACATCGTCTTTCTCCACTACTTTACTAACATCCATCACCGATTTTGCCCTAACAGAGAACAAATTATTGTTTCTTTTCACTGATTTGAGGAAGCCCATCTCCTGATTAGAATAATTTCCGGTTTTCAAGGGTTTAGAACAAGAAACACTCTGCTTTGACCCTCTGGGATCATAAAGGACACTGTAATTTAGGGCTTTTGCCTTCTTTGAGCATATGGGTTCGTAAAGAAAGCCTGGATTCCCCAACTGGCTAGCCTTGAAATCAAGTAAAAACTGGGAATTTGGAAACCCTACAGTTCCGGCTTTGGAGTTACTGAAACTGCTCACCTGCATCTTTGAGAGCAAAAAGTGAGTTCTTTCGCAAACTTGGGAGGTGGGTTTGAAGAAGAAACTGAAAACTGAAAGTTTCGAGACAATTGGTTGGGTAGTTCAGGTGGGATGCTTATGAGGTGCGAGAAGAAGAAGGATGAGTGCCATGATGATGATTCCAACCAAATAGAAAATGATCCGGTTAGTAGATGAGACAAAAATTCACCCAAATTCGAATCTTTATGTATTTATTTGTGGTTGGATTCTTGGGGCGTGGTTAATAATATTAATATTAATATCGTAATGTATACCTTTATAAGTCTGCTCTCAACATTGGGCTTGTGATTTGAAAAGATACTTGGGTCATATACATGTGGGTTGGGTTCAATACTTCGAATTAACAAATTTAACTAAAACTCCGGACATAACGTTGTGTTCCATTCTAAGAAGAGAACCGAAAGAAAGTATAAAAAGTGATAATAGAGAATAGAAAGGAGAATTATTGATAATTTCTTTTAACTTTCTTTTAAAAATTGAGGAACAAAAGTTTTTTTCATTTATAAATTTTACCTTTTAAACCCAATAGGCCAATATAAAAAATATCATACAGCCTTTATAATCATGATTTTATTCGACTTCCTTTAACATACATAGCCATTTCCCTCTTTTTCTTTCGATCTAACAAACACCAAAGTAGAATATAGCTTATCATTCTCTTCCCTCTGTTTTTTTCCTTTTTTATTTTCTTTCTTGTTTTTGTCTTTCTTTTATTAAACTTGAAAACACATTGTAATTGCTCAATCTATGCTGAGAAGGATGATGTATAGTTGATCATCTAGTTCTATTTTTATTTTATTTTTTCAATTTTCATTTTTTAGATTAATCACTGATTTCTATAATGTGATATTTTAGATTTTAGACGTTAGATGATGATTATCGATTATTTTGATTTGAAAGTGGTTAAATGATTATTTATTACAAAATATCTTTTTTTTTATCAATTTTTGAAAATTTACATAAAAAAACATGTAACCCAATAGCCATTAGGATTGGAATAACCTCTTCCAAACAATGGTCCATTAGAATTGTAAAAGTAAACGTGTTAGCTTGGCGAGTGAATTACAGACGACTACCTACATTGGTAAATGTACATACAATTGTTATTGGGACTGCCTATTTGTGCAAACTTTGAAACGGTGTGTTAGTAAGTAAAGCAGATAACTAGTAAAACCAAAAACACACAAGATACAGTATTTGCATGTTTTGGTCAATGTGACCTACGTCTACAGGCAGGGAAGGGGTATTCTTTATTTTTGGGTTCTCAAACAGAGATTACAAGTACAATTTTCACAGAGATTCACCTAACACTCTAGAGAGCAATATACAAAACGACTTAGCATGCATCCTTATTTATACATGAGGGATCAGACCTAAAACTCTAATGGTTCAAGCCTATTGGTTCATAGGCCCATGAAAGGTGACAACCAATATTCCCGTATGCAACATCTTCTAGAATATTCATCCATGCCATACAACTCATGAGCATCAACAACACACATAATGAAGCACCTTGAGCCATAATAATACAACATGAACACTAGTGGCTCAACATCCATCATGGTGGCACAATATGGTGTATTCTTTGAGTATCACCAACTTTTGAACGTCATATAGGACTTCGTAACTCATCAAAGATATCATGGCTCATCAAGGAACCAAGGTGGCATATCTTGTACCATCAACATATATGATGTTGGCTCATCTTGTGCAAGGATGACACAACATCCTTATTGGCTCAACATCTCATTGGCTCAACATCGTCATAGCTCAACATGTTGGACCATGTTGCTCCAAGTTGTTTCAAGTTGCTCTAAGTTGCTCCAAGTCATTACAAGTTGCTCCAAACCCTCTTTTAGATTATTTGTTCCTTTGACACTTGATCTATTCCTTTCTCAGATGATCCAAAGTCATCTCAGATGATCCATTCCTGTGTGGCTGTGTTACATGCTCCATGAACCTCAAGTGTTACATTGAGTTCTAAGCGTTCCAAATGCTCCACGAGAATACTCCAAATGTTCGAGTCATATTTAACATCGTGCTACCGAAGATATAAATGGCATATTTATTCATTGCCTGACTGCGGAAGAAGTATGATCAAAAGTCAAGGACCTAAGCACCCATAGACCCTTTTCCAACAAAAGCTTTAGACCATCTAAGAATTCTCTTAAACTTATTGGGCCTCAAAAATTAATAATGTGCATGAAACTATTTCTTTGATCTTCATATCGGTTTTATGGACATTTGGAACCAATAAAATTGAATCTTCACCTAATCGTCAAGTAATCATACGGCACTCACAAGCGAGGTACAACTTCTTTCACATCTTAAAAAAAAGGTGGACATTTAAGGTGGGAGAGAGTGGTGTTCAAATCTTATTGTAGAATGTAATGATAATTTGTTTTGCTTACTTTTTTCTTGTATTTGCATAATTTTGATATACTATCTTATTGTTAGTTTTATTATATGTAAATCTTCTTGTTGTTAAGAAAAAATAGGATATTATGTTTCACAATAGAAAGAAGTGAAAGAACCTCTTTGCAAATTAAAAGGCATTTATAAAATAAATGTTCAAATCTAAATACAATCATATCACAACCTAACGTTTATTAAGGGCAGTTCAATACAACGTTTCGCGGATGCGATTCAACACCTCAGCTTCACAGACTGACCAAAAATAGAAACATAAAGCATAAAATATTATATTATACAAATATATGGGGTCCCTATAGCCAAATGCCAAAAAAAAAATTGCCGGAGGCTTCAAAAAACATGACACATATTCTTTGCTGCTATTTTTATATGAATATTCGTCATGTTTTCTAAAGAATTTAATTAAAAGTGGGCATTTCTTAACGAAAATATCAAATGAACCCCCTCCACTTTTGAACTATTAAAACTGGTCCCCTTGGAAAGTCTGGCCAAACTGCCAACCAGAACCCACCACATTATAACTTATCGTCGTCTTTCCGTCACTAGTTGTGACTCTAAAAGAGAGACTTTGACCATTAAGATACGAATTGCTTTGCCAGTTTTGACCCCAGTTTCTCGACATAGCCTGCCACCCTGTTTTCGACCCTTTGATCGAGACCTCATGCACGTCCCCTGCACCTCCGACGTTGCTGATCAAAACCAAGTTGAAGTACGAGTGGCCATGCATAGTGAACCTTATTCCTCCTCTTTTTATGCAAGGAACCCTGTAAAACGAAAACTTGCTCAAATGTTCAATATAAGGGTAAATAAGTAAATTTACAATTAGTAAATGACGAGGTTATCCATTACCTTCTGAAAGATACGGGAACGATTCCTGCCTTGTATTTAGCTATTTGCAAGAAAGCAGGTTGAGCCATGTCAAAATGCTGGAGTGGCGGGTTGCACCATCCGCCATTGTTGCTGGGCAAGTCGAAGTTAGGCGGGCAGAAATTGGTGGCGGTGATGATGACGGAGCCAGGGAGGCACCACTGCGGATCGTTCACACACATCATCTCGTAACACCCTCCGCAGCTTAATCCGTTGTTAAAAAGTGCAGTGCTCAATGCTGCGGTGTTTGTTCCGTATCCTTGGCTATACAAATCCCCATAACCACATGCTCCACCTGCATGAATGTAATAGCTTAAGAAACTATGTATCTTGATGATGTCGATCAAACTAAATGTTTAATAGTTACAAATTAATTAATTAAACATGATATATACTGATGATTAGTGATGTAATATGTTCATAGAAGTTTAGAATTAAATGTACCCATTGTCCCTGAAGCATCGCCGCCACCATAAAAGGTAGCGTGGGCGCTCTGCCAGCCACCATAGTTGGCGGTGGCGGTGTGGAGGAGGGCGGTGGTCAGCAAGAAAACCAGCGAGGTTGTCATAAAAGACATGTTTCAAAGATGGTGGTGTGTAAGAGAGAGAGTTTGTGTGTGGTGTGTGAGGAAATAAAGGGATAGTTTGTATTTATAGATAAAACAAGAAACCGGAGAACCACCGCCGGAGAGAGAGACGGCGGATCCGGCCAGATTCAGGAGGGAAAGAATAAGGCCAAAGTGCACATGCAATTATCTTCATGTGGTGGATGTTAACATGCATTTTTTATTTTATATATAATTTTTTAATATTTTGTTGTTTGATGATTAATTCAGGACATCTCGTTGATTCGATAGCTCATATAATTATTTTTTAAATATTATTATATTTTTTTCTCACAAACAATTAATCCGACGAAATCTGCGTGATATGTTTATTCACTAGCATACATTGACACGGGACGAATCTCGAACTTTTTTGCAAATATAAAGGTGATTCACAAAAACTTTTCAGAAAAAAGGTATTTTAAAACTATTTATTAAAAATAAGGGTGTTTGAAAGGATTCCCAGCAAGTTATAAATGGTTTCTTATTTAATTTCTTTTTTTTTTCTCATCAATTCAATCTGATTCAACCAATAAACAAAATGTGAAAGTTGTACAAAAATATGATATGTTGTCTATGACCACTAACCAGTAACTACAAGAATATGTAAGAACTTAACTATATTGTATGTAAACATGTTTTTATTTGATATAACGGAAAAATACATATTAAACTTTATAAAAAAACATAGTTATAGTATTTGTCTATTTGAAGATATATAAATCTTCAGGTTCGTTCATATATATATATATATATATATATATATATATATATATATATATATATATATATATATATATATATATATATATATATATATATATATCAAATGATACTTATAATTCATTTTTATGGAAACTGATTAAATTTATCATTAATGTCAACAATAATATTCTTTCAGAATAAATTTGTATTTAGAAGAATGAACTTCATATTCCTTGAAATTTTATTGTATTTTAAGTGAGTGAATACTGAAACAAACAACGAACCCACACATAAAAATTTAGGTATCAATTCATTTTGAAATAATGTTATTGCTGATATTAATGACAAATTTAATTAGTTTTCATAAAAAGAGAATTATAATTATGGATATCATTTAATATACATACAATTATAGAAATCATTTAATATCTATCTTTATTTAATTAAATAATTATTTAATTTTACTAAATTCTTATTGGTGCAATCTAACACACAATAAATATAAGAAACAAATTAACTTATCATTATATATATATATATATATATATATATATATATATATATATATACTGAATTTTAAGTCGTACAAACATACAATGCATTTGTACAATCAATTTATGCATTACAAAAAGAGTAGAGTACATATGGTCAACAGTTGAAAATGTCAAATCTCGTATCCTCTATTCTTAGGCTATTTTGACCCGGTTCATTCCTTATCTCTGTATTTCCCCAAATCTCGTAATTTATGTTCACAAATCTTGGATATATATATATATATATATATATATATATATATATATATATATATATATCGTTGACGTTTCCATTTCTAGGGTTTAATTCATCTTTCAGCATTCAACCACCATTGTCACACCCGTCGCTTGGCGCGGGTAAACGGCTAGTGTATATATATATATATATATATATATATATATATATATATGTGTGTGTGTGTGTGTGTATGTATTTAGAGAGAGAGAGAGAGAGAAAGAAAGAAAGAACTAGGTTCAAATGTTTCTATAAACTATTATGTGCCTAAATACACCAATGAGAATTCAAGAAATAATAAATAATTAAATAAATCATTAAATGGTATTTTGGACCTTTTATAATTTTAATTAAGGAAATCATTTAATTGAAATCCTACAATTATGCAAATAAAGTAAATATATTTAACCTACTCCTTCACCTTCGTTTCCTGCCAAGAACATCACCACTACAGAGAAGAAAATCAGCAACTTCCCACCGCCGATTGCATCCCTTCCTTGCGATCGATTAAGAGTCATCGGGAATTTTCTGTCTGTTTTTGTGTTTCTTTCTTCTCCGATCAACTAAGGACCGAAGCTTTTCCCTCCCTGCGTGATTGTTGTCGGATAGAAGGAGCAGCCGTCGCTGCCACTTGACGGTAGCACTACTGCCTTCGTTCCTTTCCTTTCCACGATTGGTGGTTGATGGAGACGGAGATAGTGAATCAAGGGAAGCCTGCCAGAGATTAGATCTCCCTTTCATGCGATCTGTTCAACCACCGACCAACCAATTGGAGTTGCATTCAGGGAGTTTGTCATGGAAGTTGTTCTAACACTATATGTAAGGGTTTGATTTTCCCTAATTTTATTTACCTATTTTGATACTATATTCTTGATTTTTTGAGATCTATCATATAAAGATGGTGAAGTCTTCAGTCAATGATTCACTTGCTCAACCTGAATTTTACTAGTACATCAAAAAATCAAATGCTGAAGTCATCCGACTTCAGGCACATAGAACTTTAGAATAGTTTCAGATAACATATAAAACAATTACTTTATCATGTTTGTATTCTATCTTGTAGAATTTGATATTTGAAAAATACATTGGGGAAAATTTTATCTCTTATCTTCCTCATGAATATCAAGCACCAAAGGAGCAATCTTCAATTAGTAGCAGTAGCAAAATCGCCTTAGTATCTAATATGATGAGAGTAATTCTGCCAGAATGGAATCACGAATTCAAATTCTGTTAGAATGAAATCTAATATGTTGGTTTGATAAAATGTTCACTTCAAATTATTCTACTTATTCTAATGTATGTTGTATAAAATCATTCTCATGTTTATCTCCTTTTTGCAGCTCCTTGTATAAAATCATTCTCATGCAATACAATTATGACATAATCTCAATCTCACAAAATGTCAATCTCATAGAATGTTAGTATATTTTGAAGTAGCTTAGAGGTCAAACATACACAAGACATCTAGAAACGAAACAAAAAAGTGCATGAGGATTCTTTCAACAATGCCGATATTTTTTTGCAAGAGATTTCAAGAATGAATGTAATTTATGTTCATAGTTGTATTCTTTAATTATGAATGTAATTACTTATTCTAAACTATTAAACTTCGTCTTATATGAAATTTGTATTCATTAAAAATTATTAGTTTTGCTAATATGTGTTTATAATATTATGTTCATAATTGTATACCATTCTGACAGAATTACAGAATATCATTATAACAAAATAACATTCCGATAGAATAAAATTGGATTATGCTTACAAATTACGTTTGAAATTGAATTAATTTGAAAAAAAAATCAGATTTTTTAAATCAAAATCATTAATTATCCCATAAATCTCGACCTTTTTTAAATTCGTCTCAATTGACTAAATTGCATTTATGCTGAATTTTGTGTGATTATATGGTACACGTTACCTTATTGTACTATCATAGACCCTCAGATCATGATCTTTGATTATATTATATATGATGGTCCAGATCTGTGTATTCTGGCACACAATAGTTACTACAAAGAAAATAATCTAACCATATATATATATATATATATATATATATATATATATATATATATATATATATATATATATATATATATATATATATATATATATATAGGGGAGGGTTCATGCGAAAATGCAAATAATTTGCGAAAACACGAAAACAAGAAAAACCTATGATATTATATCACCTCAACATTATATTTTGGAAAATAATTACTCCAAACTTTGAAATACATGATGACAATCGATGATAGATGATAAACTATTTCATATTAACAAAGTATGATTTTTAACATTTTTATCATGAAAACATTAATTTAAAAATGATTAAAGACGTGAAAAAAATATAATTATAAAAACCGTCTTTAAATGTATATTACCATAACACCATCCAATTCAAACTTACTATCTTTAATTTATTGCTAATAAAATTATTTTTTTATAGTACATGTGTTTAATTTTCATAAGATAAAATCTGTTTTTGCGTTTTCGCAAGATATTTATATTTTCGCATGAACTTACTTATATATATATATATATATATATATATATATATATATATATATATATATATATATATATATATATATATATATATATATATATATATATATATAAAATTTTAAACGATAAACACGCCTTTAATTGATTAATACATGTATTTATACTTCTAAAAACGTAAAACTATATATTTATCTTTACTAAAACATAACTTTATGTTTTAAATGTAACGAAATTACAAATTTAATTTAAAACAAAAATAGTATAAAAATGTAACGAAATTACAAACTTAAAAGTTTTCTTTCTGAATTTTGTTTTGTGGTAAATAAGTTTATATCATAATGCAAAATTGCACATAAAAGTTATTTAGTATAATATCGTGATTTTTCAAAAAGAAATTTTGTTTCGGTTTTTTTTCAACCAAAGCATACTGTATATAAAAATATTTCTCTTTACGAATGGCTTTGTAACCATCAATTTAAAGATTTTACAAAAATTTGAAAAATGAAAAATAATAATAATAATAATAATAATTATGTATATATTAAAGTTCAATAGAAAACCATTATTTACCAAGTAACCAAGAAACAAATTTTTTTTCAACTTTGAAAACTTATTTATTTTATAAAAAAAAACACTAAAAATACATAAATTCATTATTTTTATCATTTTTCCTATTATATTAAATTCGATAAAAAAATATATTTTTTCGTTAAATTCACAGTGTGAATCTGTGCAGATTCACAATGTAAGTCTGAATTCGCACGGTAATTCGGAAAAATATATAAGAATTCACAATGTGAAGTTATGAATCTAGATATTTTTATTTTTTCGATAAAGAATAAATTATAAACCTTAAAAAAAATATTTGATTTCAATATAAAACCATTCATAATGATTCTACACACCCGCTATTTTATCAATTTAACATATTGTACTTGAGATCTCGTGAGAGTTATACAAAAAATCCTTCCTAATAAATGAAAATAAATTTGTCACATGTCACTCTCTCATTAACTTCGACATGTCATT